ATATATTTTAGTTAAATGGCCGTATGCAACAATTGTAAATAATTGGTGTAAGTACCTTTAAATATCCATTATACCAAATTAAAATTTGTTTGACAAAACGAAGGTATAAACCCATTTAAATTAAATATTTAATTTAATGGCACAACACTTTTAAGTCAATAACAATAAGCATTAATGTGCAGAAAATCATACAATTTATAAAAAAAACTTTAAGGGTTACTTTGACAACAGCAATGGTTATTTTTGTCACATTAATGGGTAGTGCCAGGAACCAGAGGCGTGGGCAGAAAAAAAATATCGGTGGTAAAAACGAAACGAAAACGAAACTATAAAGATCTTAAACTTGCTGGAAGTTTTAAAAATATCTCAAAACACAACTGTTTCTCAAATTTTAAGGGGGGTTTTAAACTCCCAGGAACTATATAGTGACTAATATTCTGCACAAATAATATTTCCAATAGTTTATTGAGTGGATTACTTTTTGCGCATTAATGGTTACTGTTCTATTTTCTCCGTGTAGTTAATAATTAAATACATTTTTAGAAATATGGCCAAACTGTATGTATAAGGCAATACTGTATGTCTGGCATAAAGTTAGTTAATAAGTTGTATTTTTTGAGCTAATGTTTGTACAAATTGCATAATAAGTCTATTTTAATTAAAATATTGACGGATCAAATATTGTTTGGATTGAAAAAAAAATAAAAATTTTAAGTTTGCGACATTATCTTAAATTTTGTTACATCACGAAATATTGTTTTTTTACAAAACCTGTTAAACCATCTAAAAGTATCAGTCTTCCTCCTTAAAATCCTTTTTGAATTTTGTCAATATCTTTTCTCGTATTTAAGATAAATTAAATTTTTATCGAAACCAAATTCATCAATTTTAACTAAAGATTTTACAAAAAGAAGAAGACAAATCCAATGACGGAACGAGTTTTGTAAAGAATATAAAAAATATAACCTTTTACTTTTGGATTAGAATAAAAAACCTGACGTCATGAAGAAATTCTAAGGGCGGATTCGAATTTTTGCATCAAAAACCTTTGGAAAAGTGGAATAATTTTAGGGTCTAGATATTTTGTTTCAAAGAATTTTTGCAGTTATATTTTTGTTTTGATTTTTATGTAAAGCTTTTACCGATTACAAAGCGAAACATAAAATTGATTTATAGCGATGCGCTATTTTTAGTCCATTTAAATAAGCGAAACAGGTTGGACAATGAAATCAAAAGCCTATGGCAGAGTTGAAGCCATAAATAAATATTTCACGATTGTCTCTTGTAAACACAATTTGGATTTTGTTCCCTTATTTTTATTTTATATAACGACAAAAGAATTATACAAAGACCGAATAATTAATATTTAATTATGTTTAACTATAGAATTGTATTGTAAACATAAAGCTACTTCCCAGCGGATCTACGACTTTTAGCATATAACCGAGCATATAACCGTGTCCACGAAAGCTTTCTTGGATTTTAAAATATACACGAGAGCTTACTTTCTAGGGAATACACTTTTATTCATGTTATCGAGCTAAGATTTTTCCTTTTCTGTTTATCATCAGTATCTCGAGATACTCAAATATGTAAAGTTCATGCTCTACTCTCTGTCATTACTTTTTTGTATATAATAAAATAGATACGTAAATAAAATATTATTTTGAAAATTAAAATAAATAAGCAAACAATTGATTGTGCGACTATTGGGAGAAAGAGGAAATTTGTTACGTGTGGAGTTTACCGTACGAGCGTAGCCAGTGCGGTAACACGCAATTGGAATCTCCTCTTTTAACCAATATTTTATTTAACTTCAATTTAATTTAAAGCCAATTTTAATTAATATTTTATCTGACATCTGACAACTGCCATATATTTTTTTATTTATTTAAAACATTGATCTTTTAGTAAAGCCAAAATTTCCTACATAATAGTTATTTACGTGTCAAGCTTTGTAAATGAATCTTTACGGGCGAGCTGGGAGTTTGTGGGGTGAGCGATGCAGGAGCGAACCCCATAATTCAGTGAGCCTAGTAAAGATTAATTACAAAGCGTGACACGTACAAACATTTATTTTCACCTTAAGACAACGATTTTCAAATTTAAAATATCAATTAATGTGTCAAATGTGTCATTTCATTTCATAAATTGCTTTTCTACAGGCCTGTAAAACTTTACAGGTCTTTTATACAAGCCCGTAAAATATTACAGGTCTGTTCCCATAATGTATCGTTTACTTGGACAAAAACAACAAAATTAACCTATAAAATGTCATTTACTAAGAAGGTGGAAATAATAGTTATTTACGTGTCAAGCTTTGTAAATGAATCTTTACGGGCGAGCTGGAAGTTTGTGGGTAAGCGACGCAGGAGCGAACCCATAATCCAGTGAGACTAGTAAAGATTAATTGCAAAGCGTGACACGTACAAACTTTTATTTTCACCTTTGGATAACGATTTTTAAATTTAAATATTTCAATTAATGTGTCAAATGTGTCATTTCATTTCATAAATTGCATTTTCTACAAGCCTGTAAAACTTTACAGGTCTTTTATACAAGCCCGTAAAATATTACAGGTCTGCTCTCATAATGTATCGTTTACTTGGATACAAAAACAACAAAATTAACCTATAAAGTGTCATTTACTAAGAAGGTGGAAATAAATAATATTATGTATTCTATATTGTTGCTATTTTCGTATGTCATTAAAAAGTCATTTAGTGTTAAACTATATTAAACAATAAATTTTAGACTGTAAATAATTAAGAAGATAAATAAATATCTTTATTATAATTAATTATAATGATTATTTTATTATTATATTCTTATAATAAAGAACAATTAGAATTCAGAAAATATACTTACTAGGGTATGAGGCGCCGTTTGTGTCAAAATTAAAAGTGCTAAATAAACTTATTTTGTTGTATAAATTATAAATAATTAATTATATGCTTTATAAAATTATTATTATTTTTGATTCGCAAAAATTATTTTATAAAAAAATAATTTTTAAAAAAAAAATAATTTTATAAAAAAATTATTTTATAAAGAAATGATTTTATAAATAAAATTATTTTATAAAGAAATAATTTTATAAAAAAAAATAATTTTATAAAAAAAATTATTTTATAAAAGACGACGGACGCATTTATAAATTAATTTTTACTGCAGCCATCTCTTTTTGTTTGTAGACACTCGAGTAAACCCGAGTGAACCCGAACGCCCCTCCCCAGATACACATTTATTTTGATTTTTAGTTTTTCTTTCTTTATGTTTAAACGTTTTTTATAAGAAAGCACTTTTAGTTAAATGCAAAACAAATAATGATTTACACCTTTAACTAATAACACTATGATAGTTTTTGAAACTTCTTTTTTCTAACATTGAGTACGCGGGTCTAGATTACCTAATTCAGGGTCGCTGATTTCAAAAATGCCACTTGTTTTGCTCCAGGACGTCTGAGATTTGAAATAATTGCGTAATAAATTGTTCTACCTAATCATCTCAAAATGTAAGATTTTTCGTTGATATTTTGATTATAATTATAATTATAAATATATTTATTGAATTATTTTACCTTAAATGTATTAAAGTCATCGGTATACGTCAAATAAAAAATATTTAGCCCAACGATATAGCATTTTCAATACTAATACTAAAATTATAATTTATTTTTTGGAAAAAGATGACCACTTTTTAAATTTTTTTGTCGTTTTAATTGAAAAGGCAACAAAGTAAACGGGTTTTGGTTTGAAAATTACTCTTATTTAGTATATCTTGCCTAAAGTACGCAAAAAAATTGAATCATTGCATACTTTGGAGGAAATCCGAGTTCATGAAAATTAATTAATTAAATTAAATTAATTAATTTTTTCCACCGTTTTTCACTTTTAAATTTATTAAATCGTATAAAATATGTAATTTAATTAAATTATGCTTAATCATCATCATCGTCGTATGTCTTTTGCTGCAAATTCCAGCAAATGTCTCCTAGCAACGAATCCAACTTCTTTCCGCTATACCAATGTTCTAAATTTGCAGTCACTTGATGGAATAGTTCTCCATGTTCATCAGATTCAGTAGGTGACTGTTCGGCAAATTTATCTGGATGAAAATGGAGAAAATGTATTTTCAAAGACATATTCACATTAATTCTTTGAAAATCAGAGAGCATTTCTTTAATGTGTATACGCCAATTTTCAGCTCGATATGAGCCAATAACATTTTTAATGACAACTTTAATACTGTCCCATGCGACAAGCTCGTCAACACTTAGAGCATTTTCGAATGCTTGATCTTTCATTAAACGGCGTATGTCGGGCCCATTCAATACTCCTGTAATAGTTGTTTTTATAATACTCCAAAATACTAAAACACTATTTACTTACCTTCCTTCATTTTTGCTTCACTTAAACGTGGAAAAATTCGGCATAATTCTTGGAACGCATTCTGGTTCGGCTGCAATGCTTTTATAAAGTTTTTTACGATACCAAGTTTTATATGCAGAGGCGGTAATAGAATTTTATTCATCGGCACCAGTGGAACTTCGATCATATTTTCTCGTCCAATTGTATGTTGCTGACCACGCAAAAGCCAATCATGCTTGTCGTACTGATTTCCTTTATAGCGCGTGTCCCAAAAACACAGGAAACACATATTTTTAGTGTAACCGGTTTGCATTCCACTCAGAAGTGCGACTACTTTTAGATCGGAACAAATTTTCCAATTGTGGTCATTGTATTTTATTAATTCAATGATTTTTTTTAATGACATGTAAGTTTCTTTAGTATTCGTACTGAGCGCAAGCGGGACCGAGTTTTTAGAATTGCTTACATGAAGTAAAACAGCTTTAAGACTGCGCTTTGAGGAATCGATGAATAGGCGCCATTCTTCAGGCTTGTATGCTTCTGCATGCATTGCTTTCATCAGTCCAATTATATCAGTACAGTACGCAAATGTGTTGTTTTCTATTGATTTAAAATAACTTGCTAACTCACGCTGTCGCCCACGAGCTGCGTACACGTGGGTACCTGTTCCTAAAAGCTTCTTTGCTCTTAGCTTCGAAGCAAGTAATATTGAATTTCTCTGTGACAGTTTCATCTCTTTCACAACATTATTAAAATCATCTTGTGAGAATTCTTCATGACCACAATTCGGTACGATATTCGATGGTTGGTATTGCGAATGTTGTGCCTCGTTATCAACTGATTCGGTTTCATACGTTAGAGCTATGGACGGATTCGGTTTTTTTGGTACTGGAATATTATATGAATGTGGCAATGGTAGTTGAACCCATTTTGTACCTCTGTATTCCTGTTTTCGTGTTCGCTTCTGACCGAACTTATAATTACAACACACATAACACTCATCTTCTATGTGCTCAATTGGCTCAGCCCATAATACCGGTACACCAAAATTCATTTCTTCACCTGTGTTGGCCCAATTAGAAAATCGAATGATGCACGATGTACAAATAATTGATGGTGCCCAGTTCACATTTTCGTATATTTTATGAGGAGAGTAGTACAGCTCGTAAAATGTTTTAATGTCACTGGAAATATTACGTTGGTTTTTCTTAGGCGTAAAGAGACCGCAACAAAAACAAAATAAATTTATACGACGACGGCATAAAGGTTCGTCTGCTTCCTCTATCTCTACCACTTCCATTTCCTGCTCACCTTCCATTTTTTGGATCTTAAAAATACTTTTTTGCAAAAAAAATCTGGCAATACAATTTGAAATTCATGCGACTAAATGACATCGTATATTTGACATGCACTCTAACGCCATCTGCACTTGAACGGATAAAGTGGATAAATTTTGACAAGATTTTTAAATAAATAAAATAAATCAAATTTAAACAGGAAAAATTCAAATTTTAAATTCAATTTTGTGGATGCTTTAGGCTTAATGTAAATAAAAAATAGCAAATAATAGTGGAATAGTAACTTTTATACCGAAACCCATCTAGTTTTTGCCTTTTTAATTCAATAATTAAAAAACGTCAAAAAAATGGTTATTTTTATCCAAAAAAAATTAGGTTTTGTATTCAAAATGTCATACCATTGGGCTAAATATTTTCTATTTGATGTATACCGACGACAACAGTACATTCCAGACATATTTAAGGCTAAATAATATAACAAATAATCAAAATATTTACAAAAAAAACTAAATTTTGAAATGATTTGGTGGAGCATTTTATTTCGCAATTATTCTGAATCCTAGACGTCCTGGAGAAAAACAAGTGGCATTTTTGAAATCAGCGGCCCAAAATTAGGTAATCTAGATAGGCGTAGTTAATGTTAGTAATTCGAACTATCACAGTGTAATTAACTGTTAAAAGTGATTACGTTACATTTTAAATATCTGAATTTTTAAAAGTAAATTAACTTTAATTCGACACCTGAGTCCCCGGGACTCGCATGCGAATTTTGTTGGCGCCTAAAGCCTAATTTAAAGATTGCCTTCCTCCTTTCTCCCTACACCGTAGTGCTGTTTATAGATTTTAACAGTTAATTATTAGTTAAAGGCGTAAATCATTATTTGTTTTGCATTTAACTAAAAGTGCTTTCTAATAAAAAACGTTTAAACATAAAGAATTCTTGTTAAAAACTAAAAATCAAAATAAATGTAGATAAAAAAATTAATTAATTAATTAATAAAAATAATAAATTATTATTTTCAATCGTTTCCCCAAATTGCGTCAAACAAAAGCCCAGTCCGTCATAAAATTGTATCTGGGGAGGGGCGTTCGGGTTCACTCGGGTTTACTCGAGTGGCTACAAACAAATAGAGATGGCTGCAGGAAAAATTAATTTATAAATGCGCCCGTCGTCTTTTATAAAATAATTTTTTTTATAAAATTATTTCTTTATAAAATAATTTTTTTATAAAATATTTTTTTTATAAAATTATTTTTTTATAAAATAATTTTTGAGAATCAAAAATAATAATAATTTTATAAAGCATATAATTAATTATTTATAAAACAAAATAAGTTTATTTAGCACTTTTAATTTTGACACAAACGGCGCCTCATACTAGGGTATCATCTAAATTATTTGTTTACAGTTTAAAAAGAATTTTGAAAAAAAAATAATAATCTAGATAAAACCCAAGTAAAAAAAAACAACTAAACCATTTAAGATTCGTTCGAAAATTTAGAGCCAATAAATTAATGGAAAATAATACAATGATAAAAAAATAATGTATAATAATAATAATTATTATTCCCATATTTGGCCCTTGTATTGTATTTAAATCAAAGTAAATCAATTAAATATACATTGTCTTTATAAAAATACATCAAATATAAACATTTACAGAAAAAAACCTTGCGTATATAGTAGATTTTATGATTTCCGATTTTTCTCATTATTGATTTAATTTATATTCAAATGATTTTTATCATTAAAAAAACCATTTTTTTGAATTTTTAAACCTTTATATTTTATGGAAATTAGTTTAATAAAACGTAAAAAAAAGTGAATGAGCAAGTCTAAAAGTTCCACACGTTCAAGATATATCAAGCTTCATTCACACCAAACGTATGGAACTTTTAGACTTGTCCGTTAAGTATTTTTTAAAGATATTGTAACGTTTTTAACTGTTCGTAGTGTGAATAAAAACGCGCACTGGTTAATTAACGAACTAAACTATTTATTTAATAACTTAACTACACTTAAAACACTATAAAAGTAACTAAACACTTAACTACTAATTATTATATATATCACTACTGTTCAAGAGTCTATTTATTTGCACTTGTATTTATTTATTTCGACGCGTGTACCAAAACTTAACTAACTGCTCTGTGCTGCTCCGTTCCTTATATATTCAGCGCCCAAGTCTTCTGGAACATTCCAGCGAGCTCCTTACTCTCGATAGTTCGAGCGCTGACTCACCAGCGATGACTCATCGCCGATGAGTCATCATTCCGATATCCAGAGCCGTACTCGCTACATTGCCCCCGTCTTAAAACATTTTCGTCCCGAAAATGGTTCTCAGCTCCATGGCGATATTTGCATAGAGATCCAAACTTGCATTGTGACGTCATATATAAGTAGCAGTCTACGGTCTTTCTTCCCGGTTGTTCTTTTAGGGTTGTGGCAACAGACAAGAATGTGTATGCCACTAAATCTGAAGATAACTTCCACCATACTTCTAATTATTCTCCAGTCTAAACCGTCAAGTCCACAAGTAATCTTCGCCAGGTTCATGATGTCCTTGGACAAAAGGATATCCCTCAATTTATTTAAAGCATTCCATACGTCACGGTAGTTTGGCTTCTGATGGGAGAGCTGCTTCGTTACCAGATAGAAGATACTTCTGTTGCTTATTATTCACAATTTCAAGCACCTCTCCAACTTTGGGATTCTGCCTTCGTAGCTCGTCGACCCGTCCAAACTTGTTTTTAAAGACAACCGCTATTCCCCTGGACATCCTTAGGTCTTCTGCAACACAGTGAGCCAAGGAGTAATCGACCGTGAACAGATCTTTTTGTTCTTCTCGAGTGACACCATACCGAGCTTTTTTACCGCTCGAATATAAATACATGAAGTCTTCAAATGGCAACTCGTCTTCCGGCGGATTAACCCTCCTTACTCTAGCATCGTTTATTTGGTCATCATTGTTTCCAGCGTAAGGAGCCAATCGGTTAAAATGGATCACTTTCGGCTTTCCTCTTGATTGTTTCCTGATCCTGTAAATGATGTCATTTATTCGATCCATGACTTAGTAAGGTCCCTCCCAAGAAGTCTGCAGCTTCGGTGAATAACCACGACGGCGCTAAGGGTTGTATAACCAAACTAGGTCTCCAGGTTGAAATCCTCCATTTTCCGCCTTGATGTCATATGCCTCTTTCATTCTATCACTGGCACTCTGGATGTTTAAACGAAATTTTGTCACAAATTTTGTCTTTGAATCTGTGGTTCTGGTAGTTTAACGAAATTGTACTAAATTTTTTAATTAAATAAGAAAAAGTATAGTGTTAAACTAGTGAGAAATGGCCATTTCCGTTTAATATCAGTCTGAATTAATTTTTAGGAAAATAATGAACCGCCGTATAATAGTCATAGTAATGATAAAATTTACTTAATACTAATGTGAATAAAAATAAATTCCCTTCGTTTCATTGGACAGTGACCCATGGGTTCAAGACTGAACCACTTTCTTAATTAAACATAAAAAATTTACTGATTGTTTAATATGAGAAAAAAATATTTTATATAATTTCCACGACACAATAGTTATTTATGTATTAAGGGCATAATAAGGTTTTTATGGTCCGAGGCGCTATTTCGAGCCCGAGCGCGTTAGCGCGAGGGCTAGAAAAGCGTCGTAGGACCATAAAAACCAGTTATGCCAGCAATGCATACAAAACTTTATGCACGATTAATATATTATTATTTTTAATATATTATTGTTTTTAAAGACGTTTACGTCAAAGATTTTTTGTTATAATTGTCATATTATAATGTCAACTGACATCAGTCAGTTTTAAAGTTTAAAGATGAATGAAATAGAGGAAGCAGCTGAAAAGGCGAAAAATTGCGGCCTGCTGCCGGAAAAATCAAATTCTTTATACGAAAAAACTTACTTCGAATATATCAAATGGTGTAACATTGTTGTTTTTAATTTTTGACGTTTCATTATAGCCCGCTGGGTCATAATAACGCCCGCGGGCTATAAAAAGACGTTTACGTCAAAGAATTTTTGTTATAATTGTCATATTATAATGTCATCGTGCATAAATAATATTATAATAATCCCGGCGCATTCACCATGATGGCAAAATTTTCTCATATAATTATATCACGAGAACTATGAATTTAATCTAACTAACTAGGCTCAGTAGTTTTTTGTTTGGATTTTCATGGAAAATGTTGAATGCAAAATAATTTAATAAAATAATGAGACCTCGTAGCGGTCTAGGGGTTTTATTTGTAATTAATTAGCATGAAACTATTTTCCAAAAAGAAAAATGAAATAAAAACTTACTGAGCATAGTTTAAGAGATTAAATATATAGGTTGAGTGATATACGTCTAAATTATTTCTCGAATTAAAGGAAACTATTTGACAATTAATTTTGATATGTGTGTATAAAAACAGCAATAATTTTGAACACCTCATTCGACCTTATTAGTTAGTTTTTGGTATTGTTCTAATTTTCATTAAAAATTTTGTATATTTTCTCACCAGTTCTTTCATAAAATTTAAAATATCCTTTAATTTTATTTTATTACATATGTTTTAATGTTTCACCTTTATTTTAAACAGCAAAAAATATAGCGTATAAATAATTTATGGTTTTGTTTCTTAATGATTTTTGTTTTCCAAATGGTTTTATTTTTATTTCTCGAAAACGAAGCAAAATATGAAAACAATTTAATAGACAAAAAAGATATTTTTAGTTGC